CCTGCCTTGGGTGGGACCTAGGAAGAGGAACCGATGGATTTAGACATAGATAAATTTGACGAAGTCTGCAAAGTTGTGCAATTTGCATCACTCGTTACCGTTCAACAAATTTGAAATGTGATTTGGAGTCCGATGTAGGGATAAGTTAAAAGATATAGACATTCCACCCATCCCATGGATGCCGGCCCAAAAGAAAAGGACATCCATTGAAGTTCTCGACAATGACCTTAACAAGCTCTATACCGCTTGTATCAAATTAAGGAATTTGAAATTTGATTTCGAGTCTACACTCATATCTGTAATATTATAATTCTTTTTTCTGCCAATTTTTAGAAAAATTTTTGTGCAGTGTATTTGTTAGACTTTTTATTTCCATTAAGTGAGAATTTAATTTTGAGTCTTATATTAATGAAAATGATCTAATTAAATTTATTATATGTGTATTAGGATATTTTTAGAAAATTCATAATACTCTTAATACAAATTTACAATTACTGTAATAGTTAAATTATAATTTTTTTGGATGCTGTTAAATTGTCATTTGTCATTCATTGAACCTTAAGAACGGTTGAAAAACCTAATTGAGGAAAATAAGGATTATAAACATGTTGCTAATCTTTTAAGTTAAAGTCATCCAGTGACAAGTGAATCCGTGTCTCTGTCTTAAATCTTTAAAAAACTAAAAAATTGAACCCATCAAATTACTTTATCCAACTTGAGCACTTTAAAACCCAACAATACATTGTTAAAGGGCCAAATTCAATAAACAAAACCCATGACTACACTAAATTGCGAACGGGCCGGCTCCAAAAGGCCCCTTTTTTTATTTCAGATACCGGCCCTGAAACCCAAATTTCAGTTGTCTACCCTAATACCCACCTTCCACGTCCTCTCTTCACTGCACTGGTGGTCATGGTCGCGCCTCCTTCTACTGCCAAGAACGAATACACTTAAATTCTTCTTCTCGCTCATTCAATAAGCCCAGAAAAGGCGTGGGTTCCTCTAGCTACAAAATACATCAACTTTTGCCTCCGATTTTGGTATTTTATTCTCTTTTTTTTTTTTTTTAATGTCAGTCTCCTCTTTTACTTTGTTAATCTATTGCTTTTTGCACATTCCAAATCCCTTTATCATTGGATTTTTCATTTTTGGCTTAAGTTGATCTTTTTCTTTTTTCTTTTAATTGTTTATTAGCAATTGTTCCCCTTAAATTCAATGATGCTGGGACTATGGACCAGAAGTTAACAACTGCTATTATTTTTATAT